ACGTCTTTAAAGCGGGTGATTGATATTGTTATATATATGATGGACAAACAAATGATTTGGACCTTCTAAAGTAAGAATACTTTAAAAGTAAGAATGGAAATTATATTATTTGAGCTTGGCAATTTATCCCAATTGTGTGTATTTATAGTAAAGTATCACGAGCTTTTAATTACTCATATTATTGACGACAGAGTGGATCGTTAGAACTATTAAAAGCCATTCATGAATGCGACAAATAAGCTGTGTTCAATCTAATTAAGACTCGAAAATAGGATTTAATTTACATATTTATGATTTTTTAGATAAATGCGTAAATGTTTGTGGACTTAGGTTTAACTCGTTAATATTGGTAACTAGCCAAACTCGAGCTCTTTTTGTTTTGCAACTAGACTTGATAAAAGTTTAAAGTCAGTATCAAACTCAATTTGACTCGATAAAGGCTCAAACTCGATTTTGAGTATCAGAAGTTCGAGCCGGCTGGATTGTTTACAACTCTAGTGGTTCTATGAAACTTTAACCAGCAGATATTAATATATACAATAACATGGTAAAATTTACGAATTATAGTAGAAAAGTAATATGCTAGTCATTATGTATTTTGATTAAATTAATTTAGGGCGTGATTGTATATGAATTTTACAGTAAATATTCCAATCAAAACTCAAATTTAACTCTACTTTAACTCAATTCCACTATCTCCAATATTATCAATATAATTAAATAATATCAACCAATCATTATTACACATCACATCAATTTTAATTCACTATTCATTCACTCACATAATTTTAACTAAACATCACTTCCAATCATTTTTTCCTACTTTTCCATCAAATCAACTTTAATTATTTTAATTTAAATATTATTTTAATATATCCACTAACAACTAACCATATTACTTTTTTTTAAACTCAACTATAGTTATTAAATAACCAATTTTTTACTAGTTGAATTCATATCCAATCACCTTTTTACGAACTGTACTAGAAAAGTAATATACTAGCAATTATATATGTATTTTGATTAAATTAATTAATACTTATTTACTACCATGTAATATCCCCTTATATAATTTCAGAATGCCCAGAGTCTAAGTGGCAGATTCGCACGCTTCGAAATCCTACTTAGCAAAAAATCACGATTCGTAATTTGGTTTGGATAAAAAATGATGTTATTCTAAATTAATAATTTCAGGTTCGGACATTCCATAAATATTGAAAAGTTAACATCGGTAACTCCATAATACTTTCACTAATATAACCTTTAATGTGTTTTGTAAACTTACTTACTGTTGTTTGTATGAATATACCCTAAAATTTGTTTTGGAATCTCTCACTTTTCCAAATTGAATGTTATGATCAAAATGATTAATGTATCAATTTTTTATACATATATGTTAAATTTTAATATACAATATATCAAATTAATCATGTATTGATGAATTCCGATTTGATATCAATATTATACTTATAAATAACTAAATAATTTTATTTATATTTATAATTAAAATTAAATTATCTATTAATAGTAATTTGAAAAAATATAATTATTTAAACTTACTTAACTACAAATTAGTTAATTGATATATATCATCAAAATATATAATATAAGATGGTAAGTCGTGTAAGTCACGGTGCTAATTTAAATATAAATTCTCCATATATATAATTTCATAATGTGTTGAGCCAAGTGGTAGAATCGCGCGCTTCTAAATCTTACTTACCGAAAAATAATGCTTCGTAATTTAGTTTAGATAAAAAATAATGTTATTCTAAAATAATAATTTCATGTTCGGACATTCCATATATTGAAAAGCTAACTTGGGTAACTCCATAATACTTTAACTAATATAGCCCTTAATTTATTTTGTAAACTTACCTACTGTTGTTAATATGACTAAAATTTGTTTTGGAATCTCTCACTTTTCCAAATTGAATGTTATGATCAAAATTATTAATATATCAATTTTCATACATATATATTAAATTTTGTATATATATATATTTACTAAATTTCCATATACAACATATCAAATTAATCATGTCCTGATAAACTTTGATTTGACATCATTATCATACATATAAAATAATTAAATAATTTTATTTATATTTATAATTAAAACTAAATTATCTATTAATATTAATTTGAAAAAATATAATTATTTAAACTAACTTAACTACAAAGTAGTTATTTGATATAACTAGAAAACTATATAATATAAGATGGTAAGTCGTGTAAGCGAAGGGGCCAATTTAAATATAAATAATAATTTTTAAAAAAAGTATTTAAAAACTAAAACAATTTTTGTTGTTATTATGATTTAATTTGAAATATAATTGTCTTAACAAGTATCTGTGTATTAACGGGTATTATACTAGTATCTATGAAAGACCAATGTATATTACAATTTTATGTAATACACCCCTGAGGTTTAGTTTTATGTTCCTTTCTTCATTTTAATGTATTTAATTAAATATCACAACAAATGAATATACGTCAAAACATAGGTACCTTAATAAAAATCTGATAAATTTATTATTTATTCTTCATGTGATGCACTCTAAGTTAATTTTTATTATTAATATCTACACCTATTCATATTTTAATATATTTAGATATATATTATAACAAAGATATACATTAGTGTAAAACCAAATATTTCATTTACAAATTTGCGCAAAACCATATTTTCTAACATATATGACCACACTAATTAAAATTAGGTATAGACCTCTACAACAATATCTGTCCTTATAAACTGGAGCCAAAGGTTTTAAGGGAATGATGAAATATGTGATGATTTATAAATTAGAATCAAGCGAGGATATATTATAAGTTTAGGTATAAATTAATATGCAATATATTGATGGTTTGAGAGCGTGTATTCGCCTCAATATAGGTTGAATTATAAGCTAAAACTTACATTGATGATTTCTAATAAACTTTAAAACGACTTAATTACTAGCTAATTGATGGATTTTTATTAATCATTCAAAAAAATTCATCATTAATGGGCCAACAAGCTGTCTGGACTGGACTGAAGTTCTTCCTAGTCATCTAGAGAGTCACGTCTAATAATATGATAATTACGAACTGAATAAAACGCAATAATATAATAAAAAGGAGAAATTCATAGCATGATGTTATCAAATTTTCAAATGTCACATTTCCTATTGACTTAACCATATTTATTATTGTTTCAGTCCTAATGATCAGAAATTAAAAACTAGTTCCGCTATTAAAAGTCGGGATATTATTTATACTAAATATTACAGGATTTAGAGTTGAAAAATGAGGTTATAAATAAGTAAAACATATAAAAAGTTTACTTGGGATAGGCTGGTACAACCTAGCTAAAAATCAAGGTTGTTATTATCATGACTTTGGCCATCTAGGATTTAGTAAAAAAAAAATTATAAAATTCTCTGAAAATCAAATTTACCTCTGACCATATTATTTATTTCATTAATCACCACAATAAACAGGCTAATTAAGTATTGACCTTCTCGTAAAAACTATTTAAAAAACATGAGTTAAGATCTACAATTATTTATAATTACAAAAAGGTCGTTGTTAGTATGCCGCCCCAGTCGAACTTATCACACTTTTGAACAAAAACTTAAAACTAAATGTTATGAAATGACATTATTTTTTAAAATATGATATTTATAAAATAAAAAATTTATTAAAAAAATATGAGTATCTAATCATTAATTCGGTGACACGTAACAATATACATATCAATTTATATGATCACCAAACAATATACATACCAATTTATATGACCTCCATTCTTAATATTTGCCCTTTTAAAAAATAGGTTCATCCAATCTATACCTTATTTTCTTGCTGCATTTTGAAGCAAAGACAAAAAAAGTACAAAAGAAATTAAATGCTCTAATGAGCATTAATCCACTCTTTGAAGCAAAAACTCAAAACTACAATGATGTTGTTTTAGAAGATTGAAGCCCTTTTTGTAACTTTGTGATACCCCTTTTACTTATGGATTGGAAACTTGTGAAAAATTAAGCTTTAGTCCACAGCAATGATGAAAATTAATGAAAATGCCATTTCAGCTTTTCCTTTTTATTATCACCCATCATGCTTTCATAACTTATTATTACTGCCAAAGGACTTTGTTGGTGGCTTCTTACATTGGAGGACAGCCCATTGGAATCCTATTTAGTCATTAAATAATGATTTTAATACATTATGAGATATCAAATTCAATATTGCTAGTTGCTCATTGTGTGCTTGGTAGCAGGGNATTATTTATTTAGCAATTTTATATTGACGTGAAGTGATTTATATCTTGAGTTATGCTCCCTCCAGTCTCCACCAAACAATTGTCACTTTTTGACTTTCAAGTTTCATTCAAACAATTGTTGCCAGATAAGTAAATCTATATTGTGCTTTCAAATGTAAATCTAGATGGTGATCTTATTGTTTATTTATTAATAATGATATAAGGTTACAATAAGAAAAGATTAATGAGATAATGATAAGGCACAATAGAATTTTTGGGGTGAGCAGATCAAGAAGGCTCCCCCTCTTATAAATCTTGTGCCCTTGTACCACACGTGACTTAAGGAACATGTAGAATTGAGACATTCTGTATTATACTGAGAGGGGATTGGTATTTCCGTCATCATTTAAATTTGTATTTTACCATTTAAAGAGCTCAATTTTATACTATAACACGATCCATAATGTTATGATTACATATCGAAGTTGAAAAATCTTTTTTTTTTTTTTAACCTGATCTACTGTCTTAATGCTGGTGGGCATTATATTTGTTTTACTGAAACAAAAGTCAATAAAGATGGATTTGATTTAACGTTTGAAGATACTTTCAATAATTTTCAACTGGCATACTTGTGGTACTCTACCCAAGTTACCAACTTGACATTTGATAAATCTTTCTGATTGAAGTAAAAGTAAGTGAAAGAATTAGCGGTCAACAAGTGTAGATTTCAGTCTACCAAATAGTCAATTTGTACCTACAATCTGACAGCTCAAGTACCTATATGGCCGAATTCTCTGCTCGAGAAAGCCTAAACAACATTAAAGGGTGATACCTAAAAATCAAATGAGTTGAACCCAATCAGTATCATACCCAACTAAGGTGAGATAGAAATCAGATACTCACAGCTTCAAAATCAGGTAAGAAAGCAACTTCATAACTATGAAAATCCACAAACATAAACGAAAAAACAGCACAAAAAATCCCAACACAAGATAATCAAAATCCCAAGGCATTCAACAAAGTGACTCGAGGTAACATAAGAAAACAACATAGAATAAGACTTCATGATATCCTAGACCAGAAACAAAAGATGGTTAATTAAACCCATTATCTCAACAAAACAAGAATCTTTTAAAAACGAAAAAAAATTAACGGTAACGACGAAGGGAAAGGGTCTGGTTCCTCTTCCAGGTGGCCCTTCTTGAAGGTCGGGCTTTGTGGTGCAAATGGCCTCTTCCCCTGAGACCTCTGTATTTCTTTCCAGCCGAGGTCAGCCCACGAAGCTCCCTGTGTTTGTGGACTGGGTTCGCAATCCAGTTGATCCTAGGATCATTGCGAATTGTAGTGTGGGCCGGGTCAACCAGAATCACCTCAAAGTACTTGTAAGTAGAATCCTACACACAGAGAATTATGGATTTATTGATCAACTTCATAAATAGCAAACAATCTCAAGACAGTATTCAAGCACAGATATTAGCTTCTCCAGGAAAGTTTAATTGTATTCTGTACTAGTTATCTCCCGATCAATTAATCATCAATTTGAAAACATAATCAATGGCCCCACTTAACCACCCAGTTTATTTATCATGAGAAATCAACCAACAAAGGTTAGTTATATACAAGATAGTGACACTAGTACGTACAAGTTTTATTGTGTTAAATAGATTTGACATTTGCAAACCTCATTAATCCAGTAAGAGTTGAGAACCCTGAGGCCACCAAGTTTACGGCCTGCACGTTCCTCAGCAACCGAACGCTTGCTGCGTTGGAATTTGAGCTGAGTAACACCCTGGTTAGTGGGCTTCCCATAGACAATACCCTTGGGCACAGGCCTCTTCCTCCCACCACGTCTAACACGCACACGATACACAACATAGCCCTGCAATCACAATATGAATTCACTAACCACAATGACATGAAACCAAGAAAAAAAGAATGTGAGGGAATGATTGAATTTCAATTGTAAGCAGAATAATAATAATAATAATAATAAAAACTCTTTTAAGTTATATAAAATTTTAGTTCAATTAGATGGTTAGGTTGGGGGGAGAGGACGACATGGATTGTTGTTTAGAAAATAATCACAAATGCAGTTTCAAGCAGAGGTGCTAAATAAAATATACATAAAAAGGCAACCTGGGAGCTATGTTTACATAGGTTTCACCCATCTTCAGTTTTATGACCTCTTTCTTTTATCCACACACTATTTTCTAATTTTTCTTACTTCTAAAATTCCCAACAAAAGGCAGACTTACTGTGGAGGAAACCACATTCTGGGTTTAGTTTCATTTACTTGTTTTCCTACAAATAAGCGAAACAGTCAGGCTTTGAACCCCCCGATTAAATATCCCAAAAATAAAAATAGAATTTAGTTCTGATTTTGGGTGGTTGGTTGCCCGACTCTGCTTCATACATAATTTCAGTATCGTCTCTAAACCAACAGTCACAGCCTAAGTCTAAGCCAGGTTGAATGCGCATATGGTTGCAACAAAGTATTTCCACCAAAACTGCTACGTAGTCTTAAAACATTCTCTCTTTTTGTTCAACTATAACTTGTAGTAACTTTGTTTTGCTGAGCCTTCTTACATCAATAAGCTCGCGACTACCTTTTCTACAATCAGTTAGCACGAGAGTTGAACATTAATGGGAAGAGTAATTGCAAGATGTAAATCTTACTATATGTTATAAAGGGAGGGCTATATTTCAAACTGGCTTTAGTTTGTGGCTAGAACAGCAAATAAATACAGAAAAGGAAAACCAAACACAGTCTAAGGAAAAAGACATCCAAAGTACACAACACAAGCAGACTTGAGATATCCATTCTTAAAATGAAAAATAAGGATATCATTAAGAAATGCATTTCAAATGTCCATCAAAGAACATTTTCGCAAAAAGAATCAAAAGAGTCAAATAAAAAGATTTAAGGAGCTATTGAGAAAACCAAATTTATTATAGCTCCTGCACATTTTAGTAAAATTTAGAAATTTTCTTCTTTTTTTCAACGGATTTCAAGAAACACAAACCCTCCAATTCACTGAATACAAACACAAGAATAACGAGCAAAAAGCAAAAAAAAGTAAAATAGACCTATCGCATCATTCCACATTAAGAACACCACAATACCAGTTGGCATTCTAACTAAAAACTCTTACAAATTTGGTTATCTCATTTCAAAATTTTGTCTAGCTAAGCATCTGCAGAAATCTCACAGAAACGAGAAACCAGGTGCTGCTTTTGTCTGGTTTAGCATCCGCAAAAAAAATCACAGAAAAGAGAAACCAAACACGGCAAGCAAAATGATAGGAAGAACCCAACAAGTACCTACACATATTAACAGCGCCAGAATCAGGAAGCCTATCAATACATCCATATAATCTACTTCACCGGAACAAGAAGTCAGAGTTATAGGCATATAAATCGTGATACTCAACAGCATTGCATCTCGTTCCATAACCACAAAGAGATAATTACAACAAGCCATGACCCATTATGGAAATCCATTCCCAGTCAAATTAGAAGATACCTGCTTGGCCTTGTAACCAAGGCGGCGGGCCTTGTCGGGTCGGGTCGGGTGTGTGACCCGCACAACAGCAGGAAGCTGGCGATACTCCCAACAGCGGACCCTCTGCAGGAACCGCATCACATCAGATTGCTTCTTCTTCCATAGCTCCGACACGTATGTGTAGGCACCTGCAAACAAGCCGGCAAACCCGTAAAATCAAAGAGTAAAAATAAAAAATGAAACAATTGAAATGGACATGAAGTTACTAATGAGAGAAAGGATTGAGAGATCTACCCATTGTCGTCGCCGCCGCTACACTGAGCTCTGTGGTGGCAGCTGAAGCTTACGAAGAGTTGATAAGAGTGTGGCGTCTAGGGTTTTGGTCATTTTTAGGGAGGGAGACCAAAGAATATACAAATTGACCCCAATATTTTATGTCAATTGCACTTTGAACCATACAGGTGTTACTACTCAGTGCCGCCTTTTTTTGGATAATTTTGCCCATGATATTTTTCCAAAAAACTAAAAAAATTGTGAATTCTCTGAAACCAGACGATTTTTGGCGAAAATATGTCCGACGACGAGATACGATTTTTACCGGCTGGCCGACGAAACGTACGCACCTATGTTTTCTGGAGGATCACACATATTTTTCAAGACTAGATTCAAGCCATGTACCACACAAGGTGTCTAATACATATGAGAATACTTAAGCTCAATTATCCCACACACGACCTTGTATTTACTAGCATTGTCAGTTATGATTTGTATAACATTATTTGGTCGAACACTTCGATTGCGTGGATGAAAATGTTGGCTTCTTCAGTTGCATTTGTGGATGAAAGAAATACAGTTTTGCTATGAATCTGGTGTAGAGTATTATTATTATTATTATTATTATTATTATTATTATTATTATTATTTAATAGGTGTCTTAGAGAGTAAGTTAGTAATTTAATATTATTATTTAATATTTAATAAGAGTTCTTGTCTTGTTGGACAAGTTAAGGTTTAGGGTTAGGAGCCTTATATAAAGGACTTCCTCTAGTTTATTTTGATTAGTTGATTTTGAATATAAAATAAGATTAGAGATTGTGAGTCTTGCGTGTTTTACGAGAGAGTATCTCGTTTACTCGTTTATCCTTCCCACTCGTACGCTTCCCTACATCAGTTGGTATCAGAAGTCAGCACGATTCACGATGCTGTCGCGACGACAAGATGCTGCAAACGACAGGCGTGTCGCCGCCATCTACAACCTGAGCCGCCGGACCGAGTGGTTTGTCCGCCAGCTCGAGACGATGGGTCGTGAGATTGCAGATCTGTCCGCGGAGATCGGGGATATACGTCTAACTATTCGTACCATGGTTCGGGACAAGCAAACGTACCGTGACGCCGGCAACCGGGGCGTGCGCGGGGGATTTCGCGGAGGAAGTTGAGGTCGTGGTCCAAGCGGGGCGCCCCGCCGGAGATCTCCACAACCACCGTCCGGCGACGAAGACAGCGAGGAGACAATCTTGGAGGTGAATCCCTTCGACGATTTTCCACCCCCGCACGTCGAGACTGACCCCTTCACTGCATACGGCGGCCGTGACATGCGGCGACGGGGCTCGGTCTTCGTGGATGGCGACAATCAACGCGACGATAGAGGCAGGCGCGAGGAGGCTGCCTTCGCCAGCGGATATCGTGCCAGACACGATTGGGGATTTGATCGCGAATATGGTCAATGGGAGGGCCCGTTTCGCGTTGACATCTTCGAATTCGACGAAGAGCAAGTTGACGGGCCATTGTACGATGGTCCGCCGGTGTTTGATGAAGGACCCGAGGAGGTGGAGCAGTGTCTTACTGGCGAAGTGGACGGTCTCTATGACAGTCCGCCGATTTTCGATGAGGAGCCTCCGAGGGCAGAGGAATTTCATCATGTTCCGGATATCGAAATTCAGCTGTTGGAAGAATTAGTAGTTCTTCTGTTGCGCAGGCCCGAGCTTTTCTCTCACGGGAATTTGTTACGGCCTTGTATGCTGTTTTTTGGTCCCCACAGTGACTTCAAAATTCAGTGTGTGGCTACTGCATATATGCCTTTCCCTGAATTTCAAAGGGGTGATACCATGGAGGTGCGATATTCAACCTTCGTGTTCGACAAGGGAAAACGTTGAGGATTAATACCATGAGTTCGCCTCCACACCAGCCACGGAAGCGCGTCGGCTTCGAGGGCGAAGCCTTCTGAACCGGGGGAGAATGGTGTAGAGTATTATTATTATTATTATTATTATTATTATTATTATTATTATTATTTAATAGGTGTCTTAGAGAGTAAGTTAGTAATTTAATATTATTATTTAATATTTAATAAGAGTTCTTGTCTTGTTGGACAAGTTAAGGTTTAGGGTTAGGAGCCTTATATAAAGGACTTCCTCTAGTTTATTTTGATTAGTTGATTTTGAATATAAAATAAGATTAGAGATTGTGAGTCTTGCGTGTTTTACGAAAGAGTATCTCGTTTACTCGTTTATCCTTCTCACTCGTACGCTTCCCTACATCAGAATCTAACAGTTGTCTCCATAATGGAGTCAACTTTCTATATACAACAAGAAAATCATACCATATTAATAAAATTATTAGTATTATTTAAGTAATCAGAGAATATGGTACGGTATACTTTTTGTATATAGAAGGTTGGCTCCACTATGAAGCCAATTCTTGGATTCATAGCAAAACTGGAAAGAAATAATGCTCCACTTTCACAGGCTGCCATAATATTAATTCATCGATTTTTTTGTATATCATACAAACCGTCAGAACAAATAGAAAATTCCTTTTTGTTACAACTTTCTTTGAGATGATGAACTTTCACATTAATATGTGTCTTCTCTTGTGCAGGAAGAGTAGTACGCAGTCCATCATAAATTGGAGAAATATAGCCAGTTAATTTGCTATTTGCCAAAAACAATGAATATTTCTTGAACTGAGGGTTGTGTACAAGGTTGAATGACAAGCACATACATAAAACATCATTGCACATAGCTTATCAGCAGTATCTCTACCAGCAACATTGAACGCTCTTTCTAGATCACATGGTTTTTTTTTTCTTTT